TAACACATACTAAATGACTGATACGCTAATACAATGGAATTGCAGAGGACTTAGGAAGAATTATAATGAGATTCTTTTGTTGATACAGGACTTTAAACCATCAACACTGTGTCTCCAGGAGACATATCTTAAACAAACTGATGTTTTTAACTTACGACAATACAGTTGTTACCATTCATTTTCTCCTCAGGGGGACAAAGCGACTGGGGGATCTAGTATCCTGGTCAGACAGGACATGATTCATAGCGCCGTTCAGCTGAATACTAATCTTCAAGCTGTTGCTATCCGTCTTACTTTGCACATTGCTCTTACGTTGTGCTCTTTATATGTACCACCTTCATCAGTTCTTCGACAATCTGACCTTCAAAGTTTGTATGATCAGCTCCCAAAGCCCTGCATCATCATGGGCGACTTGAACGGGCACAACCCTTTATGGGTAGTACAAATATAAACAATAAAGGGAAAGTTATTGAAGAGTTTCTTTCTGATAATAATTTATGTGTTTTTAATGATGATTCCAACACTTATTTGCATCCAGCCACTGGAACGTATTCTACACTTGATCTAGCCCTCACAGAGTCGAACATTTACAATGAATTTCAATGGTCTGTACATGATGACCTTTGTGGAAGCGATCACTTCCCTACTGTCCTGACAGCTATAAAACCAGATGATAATCCACCTTCATCACGATGGAATTTCACGAAGGCAAATTGGCCTGTATATGAACAATTATGTGTTGAACAATCAACACCTGACCACTTCAATAATTTACCAGATCCCATCCAGCTGTTTTCAACACAACTGAAAAATATTGCTGATCAAACAATTCCTAAGTCCTCTGCAACTCCTCATATTCGTAAACCATGGTTTACTGACGAATGCAAACAAGCAAGAAAACGTAGGAAGAAAGCAGAAAAATATTTTCGCAGACATCCCACTGTTCACAACTTTAACAATGTTAAAATTTCTAATGCCAAAGCACGACGTACGTATAAGCAAAACAAGCGCCATTCTTGGAGAATCTATGTCTCAAAAATTAATTCACGCACGCCAATGTCTAAGGTGTGGAACATGGTACAGCGAATAAAAGGCAAAGGCTCAAAATCTGCTGTTCACCATCTTAAAGATGGTGACAAATTAGTAACTAACAAATCTGAAATTGCAAATAAAATTGGCGAAACTCTTGCCAAAAATTCTTCATCGGCAAATTATGTCCCTGAATTTCAGAGATATCAGAAACAACAGGAAAAGACTAAAGTTAATTTTGATTCCAATAACGGTGAAGACTATAATGAAGTGTTTTCATTACATGAACTCCACACTGCTCTTGACCAAGCTCATGATACTGCAGCGGGTGATGACACTATTCATTATCAGCTTCTGAAACACTTGCCTGAACCATGTCTGGAGACACTTTTTAGATATATTTGACAAAATATGGACGTCTGGTCTTTTTCCTTCTTCCTGGCGTAATGCAATTGTAGTGCCAATACCAAAACCTGGCCGGGATCATACAGATCCATCAAATTACAGACCAATTTCTTTAACCAGTTGCGTCTGTAAAACCATGGAACGAATGGTAAATAACAGATTAATTTGGTATCTGGAAACCAATAACCTCATTACAAACATTCAGTGTGGTTTTCGGAAGAATAGAAGTACTATTGATCATTTAGTACGTTTAGAATCCTTTGTAAAAAATGCTATTATCACCAAACAACATGCAGTATCTATATTCTTTGATCTTGAGAAAGCATATGATACTACTTGGAAGCATGGAATTTTAAAGGATTTACATGATTTTGGTTTGCGAGGTCGTTTGCCTCTTTTTATATCGAAGTTTTTAACCAACAGGCAATTTCAAGTCCGAGTGGGTTCAACCCTGTCTGATCATTACAATCAGGATCAAGGTGTCCCACAAGGCAGTATCTTGTCTGTCACGCTATTTAGTATTAAAATAAATAGTCTTTCAAAGGTTTTAAGTGATTCAATCGACGGATCCCTTTTCGTGGATGATTTGAATATTTCTTGCCGTGGTAAAAATATGAGAACTATTGAGAGACAATTACAACTTTGTCTCAACAAAATTCATAAATGGTGTCTGGAAAACGGGTTCAAATTTTCGAAATCCAAAACCAATTGTATACATTTTTGTAGGAAATACAAACCCCATAAAGACCCTGAATTATCCTTAAATGGCACACCCATCAAAGTTGTCAAGGAAGCTAAATTCCTTGGTCTCATCTTTGACTCACATTTAACTTTTCTGCCCCATATCAAATATCTAAAAGCCAAATGCCTGAAGGCACTCGACTTGCTGAAAGTCGTTTCCAGTTCAAGGTGGGGAGGGGACCAAACTACCCTCCTTCATTTGTATAGATCACTGGTCCGATCGAAACTTGATTACGGCTCTATCGTATATGGTGGGGCCTGTAAAAGCAACCTCAAACTACTTGATTCTATCCATCACCAAGGTCTAAGACTTTGTCTTGGGTTTTTCTGAACCTCTCCCATTGACAGTCTCTACGTTGAGGCCGATGAGCCATCTTTAAAACTTCGCCGTATCAAATTGTCCCTACAATATATCACAAAGTTATATTCTAATGACTCCAATCCTGCTCACACTTGCGTTTTTAATCCTTTTTATGAGGATTTGTATAATAAAAAACCTTCACTTGTTCCAACTCTTGGGATAAGAATCCAACAATTCATTTCTGCTGCTGGCATTGAATTGGAGAATATATCTCCTTTCCGGCTTCTTTCTTCTCCTCCTTGGCAATTGGTGAGGCCACAAGTTGACCTAACGCTGACAAAGTTTAAGAAATCAGAAACTAACGAATTACAATATAAACAAGAATTTAATCATTTAAAAAGTAAATATAATACCTATAAATCCTTATTTACAGATGGGTCCAAGGATGGTGGCGCAGTTGCTTGTGCCACTGTCATTGGATCCAGAATAATCTCTTCTCGACTACCAGATAACAGCTCTATTTTCACAGCAGAAGCTAACGCCATATTAACAGCTCTTAAATATATTAATAAACACCGTAAATGTAAACAATATATCATATTTTCCGATTCTCTTTCGTGCCTTCAGGCTATTAAAAGTCATTCTTGTAAACATCCGCTTTTATTAGAAATTATTGAATTGCATAATGAGCTTGCTACTGGCCAATGCGACATCGTCTTTTGTTGGTTACCCAGCCACGTTGGCATTTCTGGGAACACAATGGCTGATCTTGCTGCTAAGGTAGCACTAAACAAATCTGTGACACCACTTCTGATCCCATACTCTGATTACAAAGCTGCTATTAGAACTTACATCCGTATTGGCCACACTAGATACACGCATGCGTACCTATTGAAAGGTGAGGATCCTCCGTTTTGTATCCCTTGTGATGAGAGAACCACGGTCAAGCATGTCCTACTTGACTGTGTTGAATTCTCCATCATAAGGGATAAATACTTCAATGTGAAAACAGTTAAGGATCTTTTTACTACTGTTAATTCTCATTTAATTCTTGGTTTTTTAAAAGAAATTGACTTAATGAATGAATTTTGAATAATATGCTGTGTACATATTTGTATTTTAATTATTGGTAGACTTGATTAATAACTTAGATTGTTAGTGGCTGTACCCTCAAAGGGGGTTGATGTATTGTAAAATTATTGTCTTCCTGAGAGGGTACGTAAGTCCCAAAACATTTCAAGTAAATTTCAGCCTACCAGGTTTTTAATCGTAGTATATTTGTCCTTTTAATGTATGGCTAAATCTCAGTATAAACGCCAATGGCTGAAGGGATGGTGTAAATCCAGCTAGGGTCCATGCAGGTAGCAAAAGTAATGTAAGCCCCCATGGGCCTTAGTATGGTGATCTACCTTCAGTTGTTGGCGATCTATAGCCCATTTTTACATTGTATTGTCTTCTTTAATTGGAATATTTTAGCTTTGTTCGCTAGTTTTATATTGATATCTGTGATTCTCTAGTATTTTTACTGTCCTTCGTCGGCAGGTTTTTATAATAACTATATATATTCTATTACAATGTCAAATGTTCTCGTCACGATATGGCTGAAATATTGCCGATGTGACGTTAAATCTTAACTCACTCACTAATCTTTAAGATCGCTACGCTTTCGTTAGAACCGTTCAAATGTAACATAGGCTTATTGGCACGTGACAGCTAAAAATTACCAAAACGCACAGATCCCGCAAATTGTTGGGTTGTTTAAATAAAAGAAATGCGGCTAAAGAAGATTGTAAAAGTGAACACGTCACACTTATGCATGGTATGACCGCGATTTAATATTCCGCTGAAGATCCGAGTTCGATTCCACACATGGGTACGATGTGTGAAGCCCATTGCTTGTGACCCCGCCGTGATATTACTTAAATACTAGTATTGCTAAAATCTCCGTTTAACTCACTCTCTCACTTTTGTCAGTATCACAAATTCAAAATCAATGTAATTTTATAGAAGACCAAAAACGTGTTGTCGCAAGTTTGCTGCTCAACGTGTTTTGAACAATGAGTGAATCACTTCATATAACTGAAAAGGATTGCTCACCTTACGCATGTCAAAACCTCTTGTACTGAGCTTAATGTATCATTAGTTCGTGCATGTGCCTGCTGTTAATATTTCCACAGCACATAAAAATAATCTTCATTTCAGTTGGACGAAATGCCGTCTAAAAGTGTCATTAGATATGAAATGTAAGATGACACTTACAGCGACTGAGTCAAAGACTGATTATATTCAAACTGGTGTCTTTATATAACCTGTATAATTTATTATTGTAAAATTTTCCGCTAGCAAGCAAACTCAGTTTGCAAAGAGTTGAAAAGAATAGTTCATCAAACATTGTATTATGCACTGAAACTGATCACAATTACACAGAGCCCGTAGTCGTCGTTCTTCGTATAATGGATCAACTTGCTGATGCTGCGTTCTGATAAGGAAGTTTGTCCTGATTTAACAAAATAAATGTTACAGTAGTACATGAGCTGCCATGGACCTGGTAAGTCCACTCATACCTTCAGTGACCATCATAGTGTAGTTGGGTGATGGGGTAGCCTAAATGGTTAAAGCGTTCGCTCGTCACGCCGAAGACCCGGGTTCGATTCCCCACATGGGTACAGTGTGTCAAGCCCATTTATAGTGTCCCCCGCCGTGATGCTGGAATATTGCTACAAGCGGCTTTAAACGAAACTCACTCCTAGTATAGTTCCACTGAGATCGCTATACAGATCAATACATGAACTACTATTGCTTTGTCACTTTTATCAGGTGTTCTTCTCTATTAATACATTACACGACGGCAATGGTGCGGTAAATGTTGAGCTGAGATACAAAATATTTCTTTAGGTCAAAGTGAGGAACAAATTCATCTGGACGTGGATACTTGCTGGTATTTGTGTTTCTGTGACTGTAACTGGACGTGGACACGACGCTCAAAGTAAGTCGATTTGATTGTTGTAGATTAACTTGCACATCAGTGCGTTACTGTTATACTTGCAAGTTACAGCTTATTATGTTATATTGGTATCGCTGTGTTATATCATTTTAATACAGCCTACTTACAAATATAACAATTCCTATATGTTTTTATTCGTAAGCATAATTTCAATATGAATAAAGTATCACACATGTAACAAGTAAACAGTTGTATTAAATGCGATATATTACATTGACACTTTGAAGCTGCCACGATCAGTATTAGCCAAGTCGGTGATACCTGTGTTTACAGATTACACGCAGGATCCTTACATCGTGTCTCCGGGGAGAGTCCAGTATGGCAGTGATGTAAACCTGACATGCTATATTTTAATTAACGTAAAGTTTATCACGTTCATCTCCTTTACGTGGAAGAAAACGATGAACGTTTAATTCATGGAAGGAATTATGAGGATGAGCTCAGGGTCCGGGCCGTTTGTAAACAGCATACTCAAATACTACACCAATACTCTGACTGTTAAAGACACGAGGATGACTAATGAAGGGAAGAGATACATGTGTCAGGTTGAAGTGGCAGTTGGAACGTGGTCATCGTCCTTTAACACTGAGAAGTACATATTTGGACAAGAAGGTGAGACCGATCTAATTATTTTAAGGTACCATCATTATTGAACAAAAAGTCAAGAACCATAGTACCGACAATTCCTGTGAAAACGTCCCATATAAAAATTACATGCGATGACATCATAATGGAAGAATATTCATCTTTATTCACAATAAATAATGACAATAAAACATATTATCCTTGAGATAGTTTAATGCAAAACATGGCAACATTTTTGTTGTCTGTTAATTGCTTAACGGACACTTTCTCAATGCGACTATTTCAGTCCCATCTACTACCACCACAACTGCAAGTGAAAGCGAGGATGTCACCATTTTCCCGACATGGACGGCGATGGATGTTATCACTGCTTTCTGGTCTCCTAGTGGTGGAATCATTGCTACAATACAATCTATCTCAGTCTATATCTGGCCAAACTTCAGATCAAAAGTAAAGATCATCAGACTGATCACTTCACATAACGGGAAAACAGTTGAGTTGATGATCTTCAATGCTACGAAGGGAGATTCTGGACGTTATTACTTCAGTGATTTCAAGGGAGGATCATTTTATGGTGGCCACAACCTTGTTATTGCTGGTAAGTCTCGAGTATATATTTGAATATATAAAGCATTATCAATAAGGGTACCCTTCTTTGTCCTACGGCATCTACCCTTGACGTCCTACGATAGCAAATGCTGGGTAATGTTACACATGTGCAATAGAAATTCGCTGTGAAGCAAATCAGTTTGGCTCAAAATATGTTCAACGGTACTACAGGAAACACTGTATTGGATACAGTTGATCAGTTTTACCAGGAAGTTGTTTTGAAATACAAAACACACGACTCTCTCCTTGGCTGAGTAACTAAAAGGTTATTAGGGTTAATAAATAGTGGCTTGCATCCTTCAAAACAAGTTGATAGTAAAAATATCGTCTTATGGGTATACGTGAAAAAAGGTATGTATCCACTTTTAAAGGACCTTCATGTTTTTCATTTGTCAAACAGATTATCAAACTAAGCTAGCATGTTTTAGATTCAGATTCAGAATGGGCGATCACATCACTTAAGTTGTCAGTATTCTAATAAAATGCTTAGTTTAGAAAGAAGAATAAAAACTTGACAGACTTGAATTGTTTAGAATGTATCCTTTTTCAGATCGTAAGAGTCCACAGGTCTCAACTAGTATTGTACCTTCCACTATTGGTCAAACAAAACCTCAAACGGCGGCTACAGCTGCAAGTACTCAGGGTACGTTACAATCGAACAGATCTTAACAAGATATTGCTGCGGGGCACCTTCATACCCCACTGTCCCAAGTTTCACAAATTAAACACAATACAACTCGACGAGATCTCAAACGGTTAAAGTGATATTACTTCCCTGCATCAAATACCCAAGTATTTAAAAATAATATGTGTAGAGTTTAGAGGAAACATTTAAAGTATATATCTACATCACATACATTGTATTTCCTGACATAATAATCCTTTCAGATTTTGCATTTTATATTTGTTTATTACAATGAATTTTATACATTTCTTTTCCTTTAACTAACAGTTTGTGTCCTCTTTAATGTTATTGATTCAGTCAGAAACCCTTTGTTTTACTAATCTTATAACAGTTCGAGGCCAATATATGCAAAATTATACTTATTCTATTTTCTTAAAATCTCATCCGACCCTCACATGCACAACACATGGGAGACAGGGTTTCAGCTTGTTACTGACTTTGTTTATGATCCAGATGGTGGATGGTATTACTATTTGCTTCCTGTTGTAGTAGATGTCACATCTAACACAGTGACTGTCACCAGCACACAAACCTCAGCTGCGACAACTACCGGGGTACCCCTTTCTACAGCTACAACCGCCAACACTGACAAAAGTAATGTCATTCATTATTACAAAGCATTAAAATATTTTGAGAATATATCTCGATCCATTTCATTGGCTTTAAATAAATGTGTGTGTGTCCTCTTTAATATTTCGCTTGTGTTTTTCATAAACCTTTTGTAACAGTTCATGCAAGGTCGAAGGACAAACATGATTTTCTTAAACCCACTATCTTCTGCGACATTAAACTCTATTAGACCAAAAGATTCACAACAGACATGGGAAACATGGTTTCAGATAAATTTTGTTACCGACTGCCAGGAAATAAATCGGATTCGAAATTGTAATGTAATTGAATATTTTAGATGTTACTACAGGTGTCCTCTACATCATCGTCGGGTGCTGTGTCCTGCTTATAGTGTTGGCTGTGGTCACCGTTGCAGCTATTGTGTTGATAAGGATTAAACGACAAGGTAATCTAATTTAATGTGAGTGAGTGAGTGAGTGAGTGAGTGAGTGAGTGAGTGAGTGAGTGAGTGAGTGAGTGAGTGTTTTACGCCCTTATGCATCCAGCGACTATGAGGATGATCCTTTATACCAAGGACCACAAACAGGGTGAGTTCTTCCTTCTTTTACAGTCACAGGATTCTACATCTTCTCAGCGACAACATTTATCTTCGACTCAAATAACTTTAATCCCCACGCATTTACGAGCATCTGATATCGTCATTATAAATAACTATGAGCCGCCAACCGTGTTCTAAACCAATGAGTGAGTGAGATTAGTTTTACGTCGGTCTTAGCGATATTCCAGCAATATCACGGCGGGGGACACCAGAAACGGGGTTCACACACTGTACCCATGTGGGAAATCGAACTCGGGTCTTCGGCGTGACGAGTGAACAATTAATCCACTAGGCTACACCCACCACCCTTATTGAAACGAAGCCTTTTCCCAAACCAAAACTAAATGTATTTTCACTGTTGCAGGTGTTCACCAACGTAGAACGCCTGCGACATCTACGACATCGAACATTGTTCAACGTCAACGTTATGATGTTGTCGAATGTTCACCTGTTGGTGGCGCTGAAAACAGTCAGCTGTATGCGGAAAACAGTTTAGGATACCACACACTTAACTTCAAACGTTTCAACCGGGTGAATGTGGTCGACCCTACAGATGCCAATACCACCAGGAACAGATTAGTACCACTGGACCAAGACTATGAACCTGTCACTCTCATGGACCATGGACCTGTCCTGAATTGTACTCAACAATACTCAGACCATGAAGAAGAGAATACTGATTCTGTATCTTTGTGTAGCTCGTATGATAATGGTCAGCGTGAGAAAGATCGTTCTGGATATGCACAGTGCAAAGTTGTCGCTGGTAACGTGCCGACGATGTCTGTTGAATGAGCCATTAAGAAAATATGGTTTAAACATGGTTTTTATTTCGCCAAGGCTGAACTCTTGATAGGCGAACAAGCCTAGTGGCTTATATAAACGCCGCTCCAGTATCCCAAAGCGAGCTGAATTCGACGTTCTGGTGATTTCGACGATTGCATTGCTCGCCCTATATCGGGGGAGTACGTGCGCGATCGGAGTGCACGAGCAATTTCATCGGTAGAGCGGATGCCCTGTCGCTGTCGTGAGAAGTTTTATTGACAACGGAAATCCGGAAGTTAAGTTATATGAAAAACAAGCAAACATCAATATTATTTACCCGAGATCGTTAATACCACTTAGAATGCAAAATCAGTTACCTATATAACAAAAAATAGCAAGCGAAAATTCAGTAAGATCGGTGGTGACAATAATGACAGGAATTATATAAATAGGAAGCCACGTGATCACAACTCTCAATCCCAGTGCGGAGCAAGAAAGTATGGCTCAACGTCGAAAACTCATACAAAATAAAGCGGCAACAATTTGGCCGATACGATGTCATGAGCGCTATTTTTGCAGGGAACACTTGATATTTTCGTGTGAAATAGATGAATATATCCTTTATCACTCAAAGTTAGTAAAATAAAGCTATAAATTATATTAAGATAAAAATACGTTTTTGTTTGCATCGTCAAAAACCCTGACACTGGAACACATTATTCCAATAGCTGGATACATAATTGAAATAATTAACAACATACGAATAATACTACGAAGAAATAACAGATATATGATTGGATATTGAACATGTTTGTACAAGAAAAAGAATTCCATCAGATCAACACCTTAACAGTTCAGTGGCCAATATCTGTCAGTGACTTTATCACGAAAAGATGTGAACTAGGTTTTTGTTTGCAAAATGTAAGTTACATCCTGTTTAAAGAATATGCAATAAAACTTTGCAATATTTGCAACTCTTCTTCAATATGAACAGATCTCAGGACTCATTTTATTCTGCGTGTTTAAAATTGTGGTTTTAGGCTAACATCAGTTACCAAATACGTACCATATAGGGTGCGTGAGTGAGTTTAAATTTAACGTCACGTATTGCAAAACAATATCAGTTGATCGCCAAATCTTCCTCTCATTAAGTCGATCAGATAAATGTGTAATGGAACAAAAGACAAATTTGCTGAGTTCAGGTTCTAAACTGTTCTGTTCCTTTGAAACTGTAATGACCAGTGCGGTTTCACACTTTTAAAGGTTAACTGTGACAGTTTGAATGTATCGTTGTGGGTTTCGCTTCCCCAACTTGTCGCTATGAATACAGCTTAGCTGATCATTGTTTCATGCGTCTTGTGACCAAGTCATGTAGTGTGGATTTGGATAAGTCTGTACTTTTAGATATATTATCTCACAGACGTTGTACAATCATATTGCTTAACCGACACTGTTACCTGTTGTAATACATTCTCATGTTTGTAAACTCGTCTGGTATTGTACAGTATTCTCATAAAAGTTGTTTTGCTTTTTGTAAAAAACACGCAAACACACACACATATACATATATGTACACACATACATACATGCATACATGCATGCATAAATACAAACATGCATGCATACATGCATGCATACATACGTACGTACATACGTACGTACGTACATACATACATACATACATACATACATACATACATACATACATACATACATACATACATACATACATACATACATACATACATACATACATACATACATACATACATGCTTGAATAAAATTATATCGGTTTGTGTCTGTATTATAGATACTGTCCATGGCTTCTTTCCACCAATTCATCTGCAATAAAATATTCCGAAGGCAAAATATTTGTTTTTCTAACTCAACACCTCAACAGGTATCAGTATTTCAATTCACATGACACACAAACACGTACACTCGCACTCATCCGCACCTATAAGTAAACTCACTCACTCACACACATGCATACACTTGCATACATACTAGGCTATGATGTACTTTGAGTGGAGTCACGCTCATAACGCAATCCTGGATTAACTGGCCTTAACGACAAATGGTTTGCCTTCCTTGTTTTTGGATCGCAGTGAGATTGTATGATAATGACGATACATCATTCTCAATACCTATTAAGTGACATCTAAGTTTTTTATATAGTATGATTTGCCATTTATCAAGTATTTCTTAACGTAAGTTATCACAAACATTGATAACACTGAAAAAATAATCAATGAATTATGTTTTTATCATAATTCGCCTCTCCATAACGAGGTTTCGCGTGTGTGAAACATTATTTGTCCTGCCTTGGCTGCCCCTCATGCACTGGCGATGTTGTCTTTTCAAACCGGAAGAATTTCATATACCAGGAAACAAACCAGTGACTCATTCGTTTGAGGCGAATTAAATGTATATAATTGCTGCGTAGGTACGGTTAATAATTTGCAGTTACAAAAGGTTTAAGAATCCCCTTTAAACCAGCAAAATAGAACACATAGAAGTCTAAAATATTCAATAATATATTGAATAAAGAATGAGCAAACTACAATGAATGACAATACAGATTTCGAGTACAATGCAATTGTGTAACAAATTTAAAATATCAACTCACCAGAGTCTTGACATTTACAGTGAGAGCAGATTGAAGGTTGTTAACAATGACAGTTGACGAATAGGCAAGAACGATCGGTCTTGACGATGCTGACGATAAAACACAGATGTACATAAATCCAGTCATGTGATAAGTCCGTGTGTGTGCGGCACAAGTCAACAACCAGCCTTTATGTAGCTTACACACTTCTCGAGCATTTTGCGAAGCTAGGCAGCAAAATAATCCTCTCAGAATGTTATGGAAATCGGTGGAAGACTCCACGGCATGATGAAAGCCGTAAATAAACAAGAATGCCAAGGGAGGCAACTTTGAAACGCTATCTCAAAAGGTGCACCGCTACAAATAGTATTGCCATTGATCATATGTGATGCGATATGCAAGCCAAAACCCACACTCAAAACTTTAAACATTGTGACCCATAATAACTATCACTAAATCAATGTGATATTACAAATTACAAAAAGATACACATTCTCATAACAGTAGCATCACAGATGGCAGGGGCGGTGGGGTTCAATTCCCCACATGGGTACAATGTGTGAAGTCCAATTCTGGTGTCCCCCGATATTGCTGGAATATTGCTAAAAGCGGCGTAAACCAAAATCACTCACTCATAGCTAGCAATGGTTTGCTGTCATCACGCCCACCTATTAGTAATCGCACCTGGATCACAGAAAACAGTAGCTGCTATATACAAGTACTCACTTTGTCGTCGCTTAATCAAATTAAAAGCATCAATTTTTGTTCTTTCTGCCCATACAAAACAAATGTAAACAAACAGTTCAAGGTTGACTGTCTACAACATGAATGCATTACATGACCATATTCAGTATCTTCACAGCCAGTACCTCATTGTAATATACTTCACTCAGGCCTTGGTTACGTCATATATGACTGAGCGATAATGATCACAAGTTTGAGAGTGAATTACGCATCCATAAAAAATTGCGGTATGGCTCCTTCAATCCTGCATATTATGACATATACTGGTCCTCACGAGCTCAGGCGTGCCTGAGAAGCAGACTAGAGAATAAGTTATGGGTCCACTAACCGCATAAAATAACATCACACGATGTTGAGTTTAACAATTGCAGTGTAGTATGCGTGAACGCCTTGGAACACTTTACTTTCACTTCCATTTGAAACGGTTCTTGCCAACTGACAACAATGGCGGACGTTTGCACACTCGAAACTTGTGTTACAAAACACATTTGTGATACACTTAACTATCAACGTAAGTGATGGGTTAGATTCAATTCAGCGGCACTTTAACAATCGCTCGCCCTTGCAACAGTTCTTTCAAACCTTGTTTGGTCACTTACGCAGATATATTTCATGCGTTGTTTAAGGGTGAGTGGGCGAGTATGATTTGACGCCGCTTTTAGCAATATCCCCGCATTACGACGGTTGGGGACACCAGAAATGTGGGTCCCCAATGTCTTCGGGTCCCGGGTCTTCAATGTGACAAGAGGACGTTTTAACCATTAGGCTACCCCACCGTGTCCGGACGCTCTAACCACTACACCACGGAGGCGGTCTGCTTGAATAAGAAAATTCGGTGTGAAGATGATTTCTATGTGTCAAAGTGAACACGTCATGCATGGTATAACGGAATGCGTGCTATTATTCTTGACGTGTGTGTATGTGGGTTTGTGTGTGTGCGTCAATGTGTTTGTTTTTAATCCACCAAACCTGAATATGTATTTATATGTAATATCATATTTCGTAAAAGATACGTTCCACAAATACACAAGCGTAAACTTTCTGCTAGTATGGTGAATTATTATTATTCTCAGGTTTGATCAATCTGTTCAAACGTCACAGCATAATAAACTGTAACAATGATGCACACGGCGTCCGAAATATCATTTAAAACAACCTTCGTTGATCTCAATACAAGTTGCCATGAGGACATGATGGGATCTTCTATTGTCGATGTGTCCATGTCTTGAGATTTTCCCATATATAACGTCCTTGCACTTTGTATAAAAAGCGAGACACTGGCGACCGCCGTGTACAACCTTACTACTACATGTGATCACTGCCACCGTCGTTATTAGATGATGAATTGCGGTTTACCCAGCTCGCGAGTCCTGTATTTTCAGAAGGATCAGTGTGGTAGCCTAGTCGTTAAAACGTTCGCTCGTCACGCTGAAGATCCGGGTTCGATTCCACAAATGGGTACAATGTGTGAAGTCCATTTTTTCTTATTGTAAAATGTCACAACTTTCCGCTTGCAAGCAAACTCGGTTTGCACAAAAACTACCCATCAAAAGTTTAGCCTCACGTAAAGCACTCACTATATGTCATATTTATATATATGGTTATATCGAAAATGAATTTCTCCACTAAATAATGGGAACCAACTGCAATTGTTATTCAGATGAACTGCACGAGGATCATGCATCAAATTGCTTAAAAGCATGTGTAAATATCGTGCATGTAAACGACTGCGTTTTGGTGTAAAGCTTTGTTAAGAATTTGCCAATTTTCACTTATTTTCATCATTTACAGAACTCGTGACAATAATCTTTTCAGCGATACGAATTTGTTTTACAATACTTCTGTTCATGCGTAAACAGTACCTTTACACAGAATGGAATATTTTGCAAAATCTAGTTAGAACAGTAGACTTTAGTGAGTCAAAACTTTTGATGGGTACTTCATAAAAATATTTATTGTGCACTGAAACTAATCACGATTACACAGAGCCAGTTGTGTCAGAGAATGTTTTTTAAATATTTCCTGCTTCGTGGATTGAATAATGATGCTGCGTTCTGATAAGGAAGTTTGTCCTGATTTAACAAAATACATGTTACAGTAGTACATGAGCCGCCATGGACCTGGTAAGTCCACTCATTCCTTCAGTGATCATCATAGTATAGTTGGTGATGGGGTGGCCTAATGGTTAAAGCGTTCGCTCATCACTCTGACCCGGGTTCCATTCCCTACATGGGCACAATGTGTGAAGCCCTTTTCTGTTTGACCCCCGCCATGATATGCTGGAATATTGCCAAAGGCGGCGTAAACCTAAACTCACTCATAGTATAGTTCCACAGAGATCGCTATACAGATCAAAGCATGAACTACTATTGCTTAGTCACTATAATCAGGTGCTCCTCTCTATTAATACATTACATGACGGCAATGGTGCGGTCCAATGTGGAGCTGAGGTACAAAATATTTCTTTAAGGTCAAAGTGAGGAACAAATTCATCTGGACGTGGATACTTGCTGGTATTTGTGTTTCTGTGACTGTAACTGGACGTGGACACGACGCTCAAAGTAAGTCGATTTGATTGTTGTAGATTAACTTGCACATCAGTGCGTTACTGTTATACTTGCAAGTTACAGCTTATAATGTTATATTGGTATCGCTGTGTTATATAATTTTAATACAGCCTACTTACAAATATAACAAATCCTATATGTTTTTAGTCGTAAGTATAATTTCAATATGAATAAAGTATCACACATGTAACAAGTAAACAGTTGTATTAAATGCGATATGTTACATTGACACCTTGAAGCTGCAACGATCAGTATCAGCCAAGTTTGTGATACCTGTGTTTACAGATTACACGCAGGATCCTTACATCGTGTCTCCGGGGAGAGTCCAGTATGGCAGTGATGTAAACCTGACGTGCTATATTTTAATTGAAGTAAAGTTCTTCACGTTCATCTCCTTCACGTGGAAGAAAAATGATGAACGAATAATCCACGGAGGGAATTATGAGATGAGATCAGGGCCTGGGTCATTTGAAAACAGCATATACAAATACCAAACCAATACTCTGACAGTTAAAGACACGAAGATGACTGATGAAGGAAAGAGATACATGTGTCAGGTTGAAGTGGCAGTTGGAACATGGTCATCGTCCTTTCACACTGACGAGTACATATTTGGACAAGAAGGTGAGACCGATATAGGGTATCATCATTATTGAACAAAAAGTCAAGAACCATAGTAATGACAATTCATGTGAAAACGTCCCATATAAACATTACATGCGATGACATCATAATGGAAGAATATTCATCTTTATTCACAATAAGTAATGACATTAAAACATATAATCCTTGAGATGGCAACATTTTTGTTGTCTGTTAATTGCTAAACGGACACTTTCTCAATGTGACTATTTCAGTCCCATCTACTACCACCACAACAACTGAAGGTAGATCACCATACTAGGGATGAATATGTTAAGCATTATCAATTAGAGTACCGTTCTTTGTCCTACGGCATCTACACTTGACGTCCTACAATAACAAATTCTGGGTAATGTTACACATGTGCAATATAAATTCGCTGTGAAGCAAGCCAGTTTGGGCTCAAGATATGTTTGACGGTACTACAGGACACACTGTATTTCAGACAGCTGATCAGTTTTACCAGGAAGTTGTTTTGAAATACAAAACACACGACTTTTTCCTTGGCAGGGTAACTAAAAGGTTATTAGGGTTAATAAATAGTGGCTTGCATCCTTCAAAACAAGTTAAAAGTAAAAATGTCGTCATAAGGGGTATACGTGGAAAAAGGTATGTGGCCACTGTTAAAAGACCTTCATGTTTTTCATTTGTCAAACAAATTATCAAGCTAAACTACCATGTTTTAGATGCAGATTCAGAATGGGAGTTCTAATAAAATCGTTAGTTTAGAAGGAAGAATAAAAACTTGACAGTCTTGAATTGTTTAAGATCGTAAGAACACACATGTCTCACCTAGTATTGTACCTTCCACCATTGGTCAAACAAAACCTCAAACGGCGGCTCCAGCCTCCATGACGTCAGCAAGTACGATCGAAACGATGTCTCTTAACAAGATATTGCTGCGGGGTACCTGCATACCCCAGTCCAAAGTTTCACAAGTTTCACAACGTATTCTTAAACGTTTAAATTGATATTATTTCCCTGCATGAAAATCCCCGGTATTTGAAAATAAAATATCTGGTGTTTGGAGGTTCGAATGCTGTCAATTTCAAAGCAAATATTTAAACTATATGTCCTGAGCCAACACTTTATAATTCCTAATATAACAATCCTTTCAGATTTTGCATTTTACCTGTGCTTATGATCAGCCTGTGAAGGTGCGGGTTAGAATGCACCTTCAGTAACCCATGCTTGTCGTAAGAGGCGACTAACGGGATCGGGTGGTCAGGCTCGCTAGCTTGGTTGACACATGTCATCGGTTCTCAATTGCGCAGATCGATTCTCATGCTGTTGATCACTGGATTGTCTGGTCCAGACTCGATTATTCACAGACCGCCGACATATAGCTGAGTGCGGAGTAAAACTAACTCACTCACTTTGTTCATGATCCAGATGGTGGATGGTATTACTATTCGCCTCCTGTGACTGTCACCAGCACACCTCTATCTACAGCTACAACCGCCAACACTGACCAAAGTAATGTCATTCGTTATTACAAAGTATTAAAATATTTTGAGAAAAAAATTCGATCCACCATATTTTCTTTAAATAAATGTATGTGTCCTCTTAAGTTTTCGGTTTTTTTTCATAAACCTTTTGTGGCAGTTCAAGGTCGAAAGGCTAACATGATTTTCTTAAACCCAGTATCTTCTGCGACATTAAACTCTATTGGACCAAAAGATTCACAACACACATGGGAAACATGGTTGCAGTTAGTTACTGACTGCCAGGAAATAGATCAGTTAGGGAAACTGAAGTGTGATTTTATATTTCAGGCGTTACTACGGTCGTCCTTTACATCATCGTCGGGTGTTGTGTCCTGTTTATTGTCCTGACTGTATTCATCGTTGCAGCTATTGTGTTGATAAGGATCAAACGACAAGGTAACTTAATTTAATGTGTTCATAAAACCAGATTACTGTATAGGTGAGTGAGTGAGTTGTGCTTTACGCCACTGTGAATCCAACGGGCATGTGAGCTGTCCTCTATACCCAGAAACAGTCAGAACACTCATGCCTTCATTATCATCTATCAGGGTGGTTATCTCCCTTTGCCCAGGGCATGATTATTTGCTGGGACCATTAACTGTTAGCTTCCCTTGTTAAGCGTCAACCATTGTCATCTGATCACAAGTCATGTCACACATGTACTTATACATGTATCTGCTTTGTAGTTTTCTTCATGTGGTGAAGGAGTAAAAATATACTCTGAATGTCGTGGCCATCATAAGACAGATGTTGACCTCAATAAATGTTCATCCTTTTCATGCATCACTTCTAATTGTCATTCAGAGACCCTTTAATATCAGGTTATAATCACTCTCATCCTTCTGACCTTGGTTTCGTTTTCAAAATAATGTCAAACATGAAACATTCAGGTCATCATTCCTATTTTTCAGATTACTGGAACTTAAGGTAAGGGTATTCTGTTTATTCACCAATTGTTCAAATCAGTCATATAATCTTACTCGGGGTCATTTTCACGCGTAACAATGAAACATTCCACTGAGAACTTAAGACCTATCTTTTGTTTGTGATCGGACAGGCTTCTGCAAACGCCTGTGAGCAAGCTAGACGGAACTCAGCACTTCACATTTAGATTATATTTACAGTAATATATGTCAATGGTATACACGTAGCCTTCTCTAAGGCTTACTATATTTCACAGGTCACGAGGATCGTACATCACACCAATGCACAACATGCCAGAAAATATCGATAGTCAAGGCTATGCTGAAATCGACAATGCTGATTTACTTGAACGTGACGCAGGCAACCTTGCGCGACCTGTCGGTAATATCCAATCTGATGACAATATTCCACCTGGTGCAAGAATCGGGCGAGAAAGGCAACAGTTAGAACATAGCTGTAGGAAGGTAGATGAGAATGACGAATATGAAGAGGTGAAACCACTGGACACTATCAACAGTGAAGAACTTCCAGAATAGCAAGAAAAAAGAGCTCCAATGCAGCAACCTGACCAGGACAGTGTGGAAGACATTACGGGTGAAATGAACATAACATTATCTGAAGCCTCCTCTCATTCAGATCCCGTGCTTGCTGTTGCTGATTGGTCGGTCCATGGAAGAGACTCTGGAAGTATGACAGCAGGGCGTATCGATGCGCTTGCAGAAACAAGCTTCATGACTCAAGACACTGATGAACCATGGGATGCACCCCTCGGTACTGTTGATATTGAGGAGTTATCAGGTACTATAGAAATATTTCCCGAAGTCGGAAGGATGACAGCAAAGAATGCAGGAGCACATCAGCTCTCGATGGAAGGAAGAGGGGATAATGCTGAAAGTGAAGCACGTGGTGTCACTAATATAACAACAGATAATTATGACAGTCTGATGCCGCACCGATCTTGTGACACGTACACAGCACTGGGTCATACAACGGATAAATAGTCCTCCAGCATCTGTTTCAAGTGCTGCATTAAACATGGAAAAGACAATTATTTTTTATTGTACCACTCTATCTTGTGGAGAATCAAATGACGCTTGTTCTGAAATATTCAAATAAAACTTTAATATGTTCACTTGTACGATACCTTTGTTTTAACTCGAAGGAACCATGAACATATATATATTATCTTTTTTATGGTACATATTTCTGCAGTTTAGGCAACAAACATTGTTAGTATTAGTGAATATATTGTCTCATACATCGAAACGCTTACTTTACACTTGTGTTACATAGTGTGTTGTTTCTTTGTTTGTTTGTTGTTTAAGGCCGCACTCAGCAATATTCCAACTAAATGACGGCGATCTGTAAATAAACGAGCCTGGACCAGACAATCCAGTGATCAACAGCATGAGCATCGATCTACGCTTTTGGGATACGATGGATGTGTGAACAAGTCAGCGAATCTTATCATTCGATCCAGTTAGTCGTAAATTCTCACCAGCATCGTCACTGGTCTTATAGCTGGAGTATTGCCAAGTGCGGCATAAAACTAACCTCGCTCACTCACTCATGGGTCTTGAGATAAGACACAGATAGTTTAGGCCTTCGGTACCGAAATGTTTAGTCGCCAGCACTTGTCGTATATATTAGTTCCGTTCTGAGAGCTAATATTGTGGCGTACTTGTAACACATTAACATGAAGAAATACGTGAGAAGGTATTTAATGTACCCATGCTTTTTGCATTTTATTGTACATAATTCAATTTTACTTCAATAAAAACTATACATCATATTGTTTTTTGTTGTTGTGATTGGTGTAGTGATATGACGGCCTTCGGAGAGAACAAGAAGACGAGGAATATGTATTTAGTTAATCTATCTCCGTCTTGTCTGTTTGGTATTTTGCATATTTTTGCATAGTTTCGCATCAAGTTCAACATAAATGCCATAGTATATAGCTTTGTTCAACACCTACTACATAAACGGTATGACTATCCTGTTGGACCAGGAGAGCCCACTGAACATTTCTAGGCACTAAATATAAGTTACGATTCATTCTGTCAAAATTGGGTACAAATATGTCTTTGCCAGGACACAGATTGCAGTAGCCACATGTGACTTATATAATTACAAATGGACCTATATTTGCTGTATATGTACACATGCGTAGGGTTTAGACAGACACACACAGATAGTTTATGTGAGTCTCACCTCATATATACAGTAAAGTACACGTAGAATAGGTAAAATATCACAATATAAGGACATGAAATTAAATACGTACAGAATACCTGAAAGGTAAAGCATAGGCATACAAAATTAAAACATAATGAATTTATACGATAACAAGTGTACACTACTGATAGGAGTTTTAAGAATATAGGAGATTACGACGACGCTAAGTTATACTAACAGAAAAAAAGTAACAGTGCATAACATAAATTTGCATTAAATAAAAATTATTTGAAAAGTTATAAAAAATAAACGTAAATAAACATGTAGCAAAGCATTTTGCATGAAATTTGATGTCACGTATCGCACGTGGCACGTGCAGATTGTGCACAATGAAGTTACTCACTTTTTGCATGCTTTGTAACACCTGAAGCTCACACACCTGATATTGAAAATTGAAGAACGATTGACTATTCTCTAAACTTTGAATTTTGTGGAAAACACGTAAATTTGCAACATTATGGCAACACGAGAGATTTGTGTCGGACCGGCCGTCCACGCGTGACGTCACGTCAGCAAGAAAACCACATGCGTCTGACCCATCTAAGAAACAATCTCAGGAACTGCCCAGGAACAATCCTGGTTTACGTCCAATCAGTTCCAGGACTGTACGGAAGCGATTGAGTGCGCACAATATCCAGCCCTGATGGCCTGCAATACGTCCAATTTTGTTTCAACGTCACCGACAGGCACGTCTTGCCTGATGCAGACAGCATCTACGGCATATGAAACAGGATTGTTATGGTGTTTTGTTCTCTGACAAGTCGAGGTTTCTTTTGGACAGCTCAGATGGCAGGGCAAAGGTGTACAGACGGCTCATGCTGAACGGCATGCTTCGTATCTGTTGTCAACGTTGACAGTTTGGTATCGAAAGCGTTATGGTATGGGGTGCTATCACATATCATGGTCCGACACAACTTGTCATTGTCAGTGGCAATCTGACTGCGATACAGAGATGAGATTATTGGACATCATGTGGAGCCGTTCATTCAAGGACAGAGACGTAACTTCACGCTTCCGCAAGATAATGCCCGTCGACATGTTGTTTGTTTCATCACAGATTTCCCGAGACAACGGAACACACCTGTACTCCCCTTGCCAGTTGATTCTCCGAACCCGTTCCCTAAACATATTGGGGGTGAAAATGGAGAGACGTTTACGTCAAACCCAGAATCAGTCACTGACTTAGCTGAATTGGAACAAGCTTTGGTTCAGACATGAAACATCATTCAACAAACTTTCTTCAATTTGCTTAGTGTCGTCTATGCGTCATCGTTGTCGAACCTGCATCAACACCAATGGTGGACACACATGATGCTGAATTTGTAAACTGACTTTTGACACCATATCTCTTCAAGGGCTTGTCATGGTGTCTAGTGTCAAATCATACAGATTTAGATCGCATCCTGTTAACAGTTAAACATTGATTAAGGAAAACACAACAAGTCATGTTATTATCTTTTTTGCATTAAAATATGGTATAACATCAAATAATGCACAGTTACTTTATTCCGCTAGTATATATTAAAACAGGTTTTGGCACATTTAACCATTAAGTGGTTATGACTTAAAATAGCTGTGAACTTCATGCTCTCTATCTCAAATGGACCTATCTCAGCTGTATATGTATGATATCCTAGTGGCTCCGGGCGGTGGAGTAGCCTAGTGGTTAAAGCGTTCGCTCGTCACGCCGACGACACGGGTTCCATTCCCCACATGGGTAAAATGTGTGAAGCCCATTTCTTGTGTACCCCGCGATGATATTGTTGGAATATTGCTAAAGGAGGCGTAAACCTCACTCACTCACTCACTCACTAGTGCATCCAGGAGAGCCTACTGAACATTTCTAGGCACAATGTATAAGCTTCGATTCATTCTGTCAACATTTTGCACAATTATGTCTTTTTCCAGGACACGGATTACTGTATACACATGTTTAATATGACATACATAATTACAAATGGACCTATCTCTGCTGTATATGTACACATGCGTCGGATTTATGATCATGTTTTCAAACTGTGTTTTCAGTCCACTCCCAAGACGTTTGGCTTGGAACACAATCAACTGGGCCAGTGAGCTTCACCAGGATCACCAATCGGGCCGCTTCTTACAAAAATCATTTTGGTGTTTGTGCTTTATTCTTAAAGACCGCTACGCATTCGTTAGAACCGTTCAAATGTAACATAGGACTTATTAGTACGTGACGGCTAAAACTGACCAAAACGCACAGATTCTGCAAATCGTTGGGTTGTTTAAATAAAACAAATGCGGCTAAAGTAGAGTGTAAAAGTGAACACGTCACACTTATGCATGGTATGAAGGACGCGTTCTGTTATTCCGGAGGGGTGTGTGTGTGTGTGTGTGTGTGTGTGTGTGTGTGTGTGTCTGTGTGTGTCTGTGTGTGTGTCTGTCTGTCTGTCAGTCTGTCTGTCTATACGTCTGTCTGTCTGTCTGTCTGTCTGTCTGTCTATACGTGTGTGTAAATGTATTAAACCTGAAGAATAGGTATTTATATGTAATATTATCTTGAGTAAAATGTACTTTCCACAAATACACGAAGTATAAACATTATGCTAGTATGATGAATAATAATGATCATGGTTCCTAAATATCTTAAAAAGGTGACAGCATGATTAACCTTAACAATGAACAAACTTTAAAACTTTCTTCGTAGACCTCGATATAAGTTGCCATGAGGACATGATTCCATCTCCAAACGCCGATGTGTCCATTTCTTGAGATTTACCCAGATATAACGCCCTTGCCCTTTGTGTAAAAAGGCGAGACACTGGTGACCATCGAGAACTAGCTTAGTTGTCTTAATATGGACGATCAATGCTACCATTATCATTAGACTATGTATTAACATATACACAGCTCGTGAGTCCTGTGTTGTCAGAAGGATCAGTTGGGTAGCCTGGTGGTTAAAGCGTTCGCTCGACACGCTGAAGAGAGGGGTTCGATTCCACACATGGGTACAATGTCTGAAGCCCATTGCTTGTGACCCCGCTGTGATATTGCTTAAATACTAGTATTGCTAAAAGCGCTGTTAAACTCATTCTCTTACTTTTGTCTGAAACTGACCACCATTACACAGAGCCCGTAGTGTCAGAGAATGTTTTATAAATATTCCCTGTTTGTCGTTGAATGGATCAACTTGCGGATGCTGCGTTCTGATAAGGAAGTTTGTCCTGATTTATCAAAATACATGTTACAGTAGTACATGAGCTGCCATGGACCTGGTAAGTCCACTCATACTTTCCGTGACCATCATAGTATAGTTGGGTGGTGGGGTAGCCAAAATGGGTAAAGCGTTCGCATGTCACGCCGAAGACCCGGTTCGATTTCCCACATGGACAGTGAGTCAAGCCTCTTACTGGTGTCCCCCGCCGTGATATTGCTGGAATATTGCTACAAGCGGCGCAAAACTAAACTCACTCATAGTATAGTTCCACAGAGATCGCTATACAGATCAATACATGAACTACTAATGCTTAGTCACTATAATCAGGTGCTCCTCTCAATCAGGTGCTCCTCTCTATTAATACATTTTATGACGGCAATGGCGCGGTCCAATGTGGAGCTGAGATACAAAATATTTCTGTAGCTGGACGTGGACCCGATGCTCAAAGTAAGTCGATTTGATTGTTGTAGATTAACTTGCACATCAGTGCATTATTGCTACACTTGCTAGTTACAGCTTATTACGTTATATTGGTAGTGCTGTGTTATATCATTTTAATACAGCCTACTTACAAATATAACAAATCCAATATGTTTTATTCGTATGCATAATTTCAATGTAAAT